AATGAAACAAGGTATATGATTTGTTGAATGTAAAACTGATGATATGCCCTGTAAACTTTCACTCAATCCACAATAAAAACCTTAAATTAAAAAAAAAAAAAAAAAAGTCATCGCATGCGCCTGCCTTTAACAGCCAGCCAGGCTGCTTTCCACACAACAGGCATTCCTTAGGCCCTTTCGGATGAGCAAATGAGCCCAGAAGCTGGGTTCTATGAAGGAAAACGTGGCATCAGGATTGGAGGATGACCCATTAACAACCTGTGATATGCCAATGATACAGCCTTGCTTGCTGAAAGTGAAGAGGACTTAAAACATTTACTGATGATGATCAAAGAGCACAAATCTTCAGTATGGATTACATCTCAATGTAAAGAAAACAAAAATCCTCACCAATAAACAACTGGACCAATAAACAATATTCTTATCAACAGAGAAAACACTGAAGTTGTCAAGGACTTCATTCTTCTTGGATCAACTATCAACACTCATGGAAGTAGTAGTCCAGAGATCAGACGACGTATTGCATTAGGCAAATCTGCTGCACAAGACCTTTTGAAAGTGTTGAAGAGCAAAGATGTCAACTTGAGGACTAAGGTGCGCCTGACCTAAGCCATATTTTCAATAACCTCATATGCATGCGAAAGTTGGACAGTGAATAATGAAGACCATAGAAGAATTGATGTTTTTGAATTATCGTGTTGGAGAATATCGAAAGTGCCATGGGCTGCCAAAAGAACCAACAGATCTATGTTGGATGAAGTGCAGCCAGAGTGCTCTTTGGAAGCCAAGATGGCCAAACTTCATCTCTCATACTTCGGACATACTGTCAGAAGGGACCAGTCACTGAAAAGGATATCATGTTTGGTAAGGTGGAGGGTCAGAGAAAAAGAAGCCTCCCAGCAAGATGGATTGGCAAAACGGCAGCATTAATGGGCTCAAGTGTGGCAATAATAGTGAGGTTGGCCCAGGACCGGGCAGTGTTTCGTTCTGTCGTACATAGGGTCGCTATGAGTTGGTACTGACTCGATGGCACCTTACAGCAACAACAGACTCAATCCCAGAACCCTTTCAGACGACAGTGCTCCCTTCACACTGCAAAATTCTGTGGACATGGAATTGAAACCAAGCCCCTACTCCCCAGCCCCACTGCTTGTCCCTAACCTACTTCTCCTTCACAGAAACTCAGAAATCAATGTTCCTGACCTGCCGTTGTTGTAGGTCAAGCAAGTAAACTGCTTCAGGAGTTTGGTGTTGATGATGTGCGGAACTCCAGGTCCCAGGGCACCTATAACACAGGGTTGAGATTAATAATTTTCTTTTAAAATCCCCAGGCCACACCTCATCCATGAGCTGGGAGAAGAGATCAACAGCAGGGCCACTGTAATGACACAGGATTATGGTTAGAGAATAACAGGACAGCCACTTTAAATTGAGGATTTGCTCCAGAGTACTTTAGCCTGCAGACCATATATCCATGAGGAATGTTTGTAATGGCCTGGGGACAAGAAAGAGACACCTAAATGAGGCATAAAGACACAAGTCACCATGAGTCAGTACCGACTCAATAGCACTTAGCAACAACAACGGACTCGGTTTCAGATGAGGAAGTAGAGAGGCCGAAGGAGGAGGAGTCTGGCATGCTCGGGTAGCACGTCAATGGTGCTACAAGGAATCTCACTGCTGCCCAGTTAACTCAGGATATCGGCAGACAAGTCCACTTTCTTCTCTCCTTAGAGCTGATCTAATATTTATAAGCAAAAAATGGACTGAAAAACAGCTAGAATAAAAGGTCCATCATGGACTTACTTTTCCGCTTAATCACTTTCTGAGCTCGAAATTTGATGAGGGTGTCCAAGAACCAAATACATCGGGCCTGGCGGTCTCTGCTCTCCTCGTTTGATGGCAAGGACTTCAATGCTTCAATGACAGAGGAGCAGTGACTAAAACAAGGAAGGGGAAGGGAGGAATGTGTCAGGCTAAGACAGGCTCCCTCAAAGACTGGCAGGCCCCTCACAGCTGACACACATGCACCAATCGATGAGGGTCATCACTCCTAGAAGGCTCAGCGCAGGTGCCAGAGAGATGGGGCAGGAAATGTGTCAAGACTTGTGAGCCACGCAGTCTCTGCTGTAACTACTTAGATCAGTTCTGGTTCCTGCCCCAACTCACCATCTTCCTGAGCAACTCCAGGTTCTACACTCAAGACCAACTCCCTCCCTTGAATGCCACTTAACAGTCTTGGAGGCCCAAACCTTCAAGGAAATACTGGTTCATGTGTGTTCAAAATGCTGAAGAGGCATGCCTCCTCACAGACACCAAAGGTCCCCTCTCACAACTGACTACTGTTCTCTCCCAGGACCTCCGCCTGCCCATATGGGGTTTTTACCTGTTTTCTTCAATCATCTTCAGTATTTCTTCTGAGGTGACGTTCCTGAAGGTTTCAGATGGGCTTTTAAGAGCGTCATACTCCACAGGGGAAAGAACTAGGTGCAGGTTAAGAATCCAATTCAACCAAAATGGAAACATCCACTAGCTCATTCCCCAGTCCGTAATGATTTCACCAGTTTTGTTTTTCTCTTTTTTTTTATATACAGTCAACTGTCTGCTGTTGAGGTAGTCCTGTTCCTGAGACAAATTCTACTTCCTTATAGTTACAGTTCACAGAGTTTTCATAGCCAATCTAATTTAAGCTTCACAAGCAACCCATTAAGGAGGCAAGAGGAGACTGCCCAGCCATATTGTATCAATTGAGAAAGCACAGGTGTGCAGATTAAGGTATTTGTCCCGGGCTACACAGCTGGTAAGTGACAGAGCTTAAAGCCCAGTTTACCTGATGCCACAGTACATGCTCAGCACCACATGGGCCGCGGCAGCCCCCGAGCCACCTCTCTCATGAGCACAACATTCTCTAAGCTAGTCCTAGGCTGTCAACTCAAGTTCTTCAATATTCTGCCGAAGACTATCTACCTCCAGTGAGTCCATCCAAACTACCGTTGTTTACACAAGAGAAGATACCAGCATGTGAAATGGCTGGATGTAGCGGGAAAGAACAAAGGGCGCTGTCACAGCTGCGGTGGAACTGCTTCGAGCCCTTGGACAGTTACTGAGCTCTGAAGCCAGGGGAAAGTCACTTCTCTGCCCTCAGAGCCAGCTCCTCGTCTACTAAAAGGAAAGAAGATAATTCTCCAAAGTATACACATGGCTAATAAGCTACTGAAAATGCTCCAAGTCACCAGCCCTCAGAGAACTGTACACTCAAACCATAACAAACCACCACTTCACACTGCTAGGATGGCTATGGTAAAAGACACCCACAATAACAAGTGTTGGTGAGGATGTGGAACTGCGGCCCTTGTGCATTGCAGGTGAAAATGTAAAATAGCAGGTGCTTTTGAAATTAGTCTGGCAGTTTCTCAAAGGACTGAATGTAGAGCTACTATAGTGTTGTTGTTAAGTACAGTCAAGTCAGTTCCGACTCACAGGAACCCTGCATCAGGTTTCCAAGGTTTTTTGTATCTTTGTGCAAGCAGAAAGCCCATTTTTCTCCCGCAAGTGGCTGGTAGGCTTGAACCACTAACCTTGTGGTTCACAGTCCACGGCTCATCATATGGAGTCGCGACACAACAATTTAATTACCAGGTATACACACAAAAGATATGAAAGCATTAAGTCCACACAAAAACTGGCATATTAATGTCCATAGCAGTATCATTCATAATAGCCAAAAAGTGAAAACCCACACGTGCACATACAAGTGGATAAAAAGATACAAGTAGCTACCAGGGGCTGAAAGTGGTGGTGGGGATGAAGTGACAGCTAATGGGCCTGGGGGTTCTCCCCATGGGGAGAAAATGCTCTGAAACTACATGCAGTGATCTCCAGTGCACAGCCTATAAACAGATTTTAAACAGATAGAGTGAGTGAACTCTGTATGCAACTAACTCATCAAGCTGTTTTTTAAAAAAAACAGAACTGCTGCACAAAGCGGGGGCAGGGGAGGAATCGCTGCCCTGCTGCCATTTGGGATCATTAGGGGAGGAGCAAACAATTGCAAAATGTTTTGCAAAAGTGTTTTGTCAACAGCAAGAGTAACATAGAGAGACCATTATGTTACTACTGGTCAAACTGTTAAACTGGTAAAGGCAGAGACTCTGAAGCAATTAAAGTGAGCTTAAAACTCTCCCCAACCAACACAGTGAGCTGTGTCATGAAATAAGGACTACACCTGGGATCTTAAAAGAAAACTGCCCATAAGTATTGTTGTTGTTAAGTACCTTCGAGTTGGTTCCGACTCACAGCAACCCTGTGTAGGGTTTCTGAGAAGCAGCTGGTGGGTTTGAACTGCCGACCTTGTGGTTCACAGCCCAGTAATGATCCTACAGCACCACCCTAGGAGTCGCCTTAAATATAAGAGAAATTAACATAAGGAGGACACTGAGGGTTTCCTGTCCCAACAGCAAGAAAGAAAGGACTGAATTGTCACAAGGATGGTATGTGAATGAAAAGAACAGGATCATAATCTTACACTTTCAAGGAAGTCTGTTTTGACAGGAGGCTCTGTGCAATGTGTGACTTGTTTATTTCAAGGCAGAGACGGTGTTGATACCTGCTAAAGAGCCAACAAGGTAACTGCTATCAGGTGAACAACTTGCAGAGAGGCTCTGTATGCATGCCCAGGGTTTTCTGCTACTACAGGCATTTTCTCAGCAGGCCCCTGAGAAATGAAGTTCTATGCTCCAAATCTTCCTTTTAAAAAAAATGAGTCTGCTCTAGATTCTGGGCACTGGCAAACTCAAGTCACAATTTGAGTATTTAGGGAGGGGGCACTTGGCACCTTGCTGAGAAATAGGTAGAGGGGGTTGGGGTTGGGACTGAGCAGGGCCCTCATCTAGTGTGGAAGCCAAGCTGACCTCCACCTACACTGGAGCCACTGCAAAGGTTTGCATGTCGCCTTTATGAGTATTGAAGGGGCATAGCCACTCACAGAGCTTGGCTGTGCCATTCCTGTGAGAACATCCCAACTTGAGAAACGAAGCAGCTTTTCTACTGCAAAAAGGATACTGTCTTCAAATTTATACACATCTTCAGGCTTGGCTGCATCCGCGTAGCAGGGAGGCAGGTAGAGGGAGTCATCTGGCAAGTCATCATGGAGGGCATCATTGACCAGAGCTTCCCAAAAGAGGATGGATCAGTGTTAGTATTACCCTGTGTGGCTTCAGGTTCCCTAACACTCTGCTACCTATGCACCCGAAGTCACAAGTGGCCCAGAAACACTAGTCTGAATGTTGCGACCAACCTGACTCAACCTCCCATCAGGCTGACTGCTCAGGACTACCACGTTCACTCATGAAACAAACACTACCAAGCACTGTGGGAAGGGCAGAGCACGCCCCCCTACTCAAGTCACCTGCAGTGTAGCTGGGACACACAGACATACTAATAAATACTTATAATATGAGAGAAGCTAGAAATGAGGGAGATTCAAAATTGCCTTTAACGGTTTAACTTCCAGAAAATTTCTCCACATACAAGGAGGCTTCAAAAGTTTAAAAATTACCATTATGTTTTAATTCCATTTTTCTGCAAAGTTTTCTTTCCCCCCACAAACTTTCTGAAGTTCCTTTGTGCTATTAAATGGAGGGGAAAGGGGAGAGTCAGAATATAAGACTATGCATAACTACCTCACAAAAATAAACCTGGTAAGAAATATGTATATAAAAGGTGGAATGGAAACCCTACCCAGAGAAGCAATGATGCCAGAGATGGAGGCAGAGACATAATGTGGAGAGATGGAGCAGCTGGTAGACCCAGAGAGGAAGAGGGGCTGTGTGCTGATGACCGGGGGGGGGGGGCAGGCTTGCAGGGTATACCCTTTGGTTGGTTGATGATGCATGTAGGGGATTATAACCATGGCAATGAAACGATATAAGATAGGATGAATATAAAACTAATGTTCTGCCATGTAAACTATCACATAATTCACAATAAAACAATAATTAAAAAAAAAAAAAAAGATGGAGTGGGAAACAGAAAGAGAGTAAAAGTTAGGGGCTTCTGAAGTAAGATGGTAAAGTAGACAGATGCCCTGAGCAGTCATCTGCAATAAGGACACAGGAGACCAAGTGAAACAGATCCAGACAGTGAATCTGGGACCCTAAGCTTCATAGGAAAGGCCAGAGACATGGTTTTAGTGCCGAGGGAGCCAGGAAGCTGAGCAGGAGCGGCTAGAGACTGTCAGGCACAGAGAAGCCAACTTGAGCTTTTGCAGGTGACTGTCAATCATACAGCAGCCTGGAGGTACAGGCCACAGGTAGCAAAGGGGGTTCACAGTTGTCCTTTGTTCTCTGCACCCTCCTGATGGCCAGAAGAACCCCATCCAGCACAGCCTCTGCTCTGCCTGGGGTTGGGCAGTGAGAATACTACCCTACCCCCACCCCCCATCCCAGGTCTAGAGATTCGTGAATTTCACCTCATTAGATATTTTATTGCTGTTGTCTGTTTGGGGGAGACAATTATGACTATATGGCCCAGCCACCCCCATGCTTACACTTAAGCTCTACCCACTCCTGTAATGCCTGTCGACATCAGACAAACCCACCCTGAACACTGTTACACAGAAAACTGCGCTTACACTTCCAGTCTGTGTCACACCCACCAAGAGACAGGTGGTGAGGGCCTAAGAACACATCAGCAAGCAATCATCAGTTAAATATAAATACAATGACCCCACAATGTCTCAGAGACAACATACAATCTCAGCTTACATGAAGAAACAAGAGAGTGGCTCAAACAAGTGACCAAAATACAGTCACAAAATATAACACCAGAAATGGTACCAGAACTACTTGATAAGGAATTTCAAAGAATGACACTTAAGTACCTTCAATGGATTGAGAGAGTTAAGAAAGTTGCAGATGAAAGCCAGGAGAACAGAAAAAACTTGACCAGAATTCCAGGGAAGCATTACAAGAACTGACAAAAATCAACAAAAAATCAGAAACCATACAAAAACAGCAAATTGAAATCCAGAAGATTAATGTTAAGATTTCAGAAATAAGTAATACATTGAAACGGCAAAGAAGTAGAACTGAATCAACGGAAGACCAAATATTAAAGACAAGTATCTCAGTATTCATCTGCTTTGAAAAAAGAACAAAAAAAAATCCAAAGAATTCTGTGGGACACCATCAAGAGAAATAATTTATGTGTAAGAGAAATTCCAGAAGAAACACACACACACACACACACACACAAAAGAACAGACCATTTTCAAAGAGTTGTTGGCCGAATATTCCCTAACATCATGAAAGATGGGAAGAAATGCACTGAAGAAGCTGAACAAACTCCAAACAGGATAGACCCCAAAAGACAATCACCAAGATATATCATAATCAAACTCTTCAATACCAGAGACCAGGAAAGGATCTGGAGAGCAGCTGTCGCCAGTGGCCCAATTCAATCATCATCACATCAAGGCTGTTTCTGACCCCAACTTCCCTGCGGCCTCCTCCCTCCTCTGGGCCACACTGGGCCCTGCAGACTGCAGCCCTGACACCCAGAACACAGGAGTGCACATATACATTCACATGCATATCTTGTCAAATTGTCTGTAAGCTTGCTGACGGCAGCACCATCTCTGGTGTTTACTACTTCCAGTCTGTTCTGAGAAGGCCCCCAGCAAGATGCAGGAAGGAATCCAGTCTCTAACTCCCATCATTCCCTCTGTAGAGGATCTCAAAAGAGAGCTGTTTTTATGGGCATACTCTTACTCCAACTCCCAGATACTTACCAGTCACCCCCTTTGTATCAATGATATTCTCTGCGGCTTTGGCTACAGCAAGAGTCAAAGATTCATTGCCAACTCTGTTCATTCTCCTGGAGTTCAGAGCTCGCTTCTGCTTGGTGGTCCCGAAGGCTTCAATACAAGAATCCATCTGTGCGAGAGACAAACTTAGCTACTAGGGCAGGCCTGGCACTGTGTGACAAGGAAATGCTCAGCCTCTCTGAACCTTCATTTCCTCACCTGTGAATGAGGTGGTGCTAGTAATAGATCTGAAGTCCTTGCTTTATAAACTGTAAAGGGCTATCATTAACAACATCTATAAAATGCCAAAACTTGACCATAACTGAGTCAGCATGCCTGTGGCAGAGCTGACCCGTCTCCCATCTGACAGCCATAACAGTCACTGCTGGTAGATGACAACACTCCTCCCCCGAGTCTGAGGGAGCCTCACGTCACTCCTCAATACAGGACTGGATCCAAGCAGACTACAGTGTCCACTGACCAACCTAGGGTGACATGACTTCTGGGGGACCCTTCTACACTGAAAACCCTCAGGTTTACTTTGTTTCATTGTGAAAGTTTCCAAGCTACAACCAATATATTTTGAGATTTCAGATAAATCCTAAAAACAAGTGTTACGTCACAACTATGTCAGCACTGAGGACCAGTTCTAATATTGGCACACAACTGCCTCAGATGTGGGGATGGCTCTGTGTGAGGCTGAGGAGGCCACAGCAGTTAGACACCATCCAGAGAACCACAGGCTGCAAGAGAAAGCCACAGCCTAGAGGGAACTTGCTTGAGGTCACACACCTTAGTTCTGTCACACTTACCTTTTCTCTGTAGGTTTTGGTCTGACTCTGCGATGCCAGATCACTGTCAATTGATTCATCTACCAGAACACAAAACAAACAAAAGCAGGGGGCAGAAAAAAGCAATCTGTGAGATCTACAAATAGTGACAGTGTTTACTAATCATCTGTTAGCAACTTATCTATGAAAAACAAGCTTTTTTACTGTAGGACTTCCCATAGCCGAAGACAACATTGTACTGTGAATCTTTGGCATATAATTTTAGTACACATACTGATAATTTGGAGAATAAATTAAGGAGTCAAATGAGGGATCATCTGGTCCAACGTCATCATTTTAGAAGTTATGGAAAATGAGGTCTCCAGATGCAAAGATTTGCCCCAGATCCGTTCATGGAGTTGTGGCAGAGATGTGATTAGAAACGAAGTGTTCAACTCTTTGCTGTGAAAGGTTTTAAACATCTAAAACCAGGCATAAGGTGGTCACCGTGAGTCAGAACAGACTGGATGGCAACTAGTTTGGACTTTTCTATCTATTAATTACATGAAGCTATCCAATCTCTCACAAAATACTCAGATAACGGGCAACATAGTCTAGTAAACAAGAACACAGCTCTGACTGTGGCGCTTGGTTAACCTTTGTCTGGTCCAATCTGCAGCCTGGCAACAGACAGGTCTACAGGGAGAACAACAACACTAGTAAAGTACGCATACCACAGGATGGTCAACTCTTTGAGATCAAAAGGGCGACATTTACCTAAGGACAAAGTTTGGAAAGACTGGGCAAGGAGGAGGAATGGAAACACGAAACACAATGAAGTGGGGCAGATGATGGTAACTGAGGAGATTACAATCACTGAGATGAAACCTTTTCAGGGCATATATAAGAAAAAGAATACAAGCTCTGGAGTGGCCTTTGTTGTTGTTACGTGCCGTCAAGTCAGTTCTGGCTCACAGCCACCCTGTATTGGGTTTCCAAGTCTTTTAAAAATCTTTGTGGGAGTAGAAGCCTAATATCTCTCCTGAGGAGTGGCTGGCGGGCTCACACCACGGACCTTGTGGTTTGCAGTCCAGTGCTTACCATATGAGCCACCGTGCTACCGTGGAGTGACCTTGCCTGAGTTTAAATCCTAGCTCCTATACACAGGCAGTCCAGGGGTACAAACATCCTACATACACCCTGGAGTTATGAACCTACCAATTCGAGGTATATATATGGTTCATAACAAATGCTTCTTTGCAACTGTGCATCAAAACATTATCATTGTATTATTATGTTAATAATGTTTTTTCCTGTAACTAGAAGTGTTCTTTAACGTTTTTTTATGCACAGAAAAGTACACTATATATCATATTCATCCACAAACATTTGATTAACTGATGTGAAATACAAACTATCCCCAACCGGTACTGACTTACATACAAATACTACTTAAAGATAGACTTAGGAAGAGAACTCCTTCGTAGGCCGAGGACTGTCTGTACACACATACCCACTGCCATCGAGTTGATTCCAACTCATGGCGACCCCCTGAATACTGTTTCCAAGCCTGTAAAGTTTTGGTGGTTATGTGCCATCGAGTCAGTTCTGACTCATAGTGACCCTGTACAGGGTTTCCAAGACTGTAAATCTTTATGACAGCAGAAAGCGTCATCTTTCTCCTAAGGAGCTGCTGGGAGATTTGAACTGCTAACCTTGCAGTTAGCTTATGAATCCATTGTCATCGAGCCCGTTCCCACTCAAAGGAACCCTACAGGAGAGAGTAGAACTGCCCCATAGGGCTTCCCAGGCTATAAATCTTTACAGAAGCAGACTGTCAGTCTTTCTCTTGGAGTACACACATATACAGACAGTTCTTGCACTAAAGTAAGGCTAAATAAGAACTATATGCACCTGTTGCTACTGACCTACAATTTTTTTGGTTACCTTTTATAAAATTATGGAACACTTCAAGAATTTATGTGTCATCCTTGCACAGGGGCCATAGTTATCTCTATATCGTTCAAATTTTAGTCTATGTGCTGCTGAAGCAAGCACTGATCTACAAATTCTTAAAGATATAGTTAGGAACAGGCTTCCTTTGTAACCTGGGGATTGTGAGAGTAAGAGAATACACCAGTATCTAAAAAGATTTTACATACAAAAATAAAAATTTAATCAAATTAACAATTTTCCTTGTCTCCTTGAAATTTAGAAATGTTTTGGGAGGCTGATTTAAACGTGGAAATTATCCACACAAGTAAAAGTAACCTGTGCCAAGCAGAGTTCTTAAACTAGAGACTGACTATGGGAATTCACAGGCTGACTGTGGGACTCAAGAGCTCTTTTAAATGGTATATAAAATCTCATCGCTCTGGGAAGAGGTTCAGGTCATTATCAGATCTTCAAAAGGGATAAAACCACTGCTTCAGAACAATGCAATGTATCTGAAGAAAGCATCAGTCAGACAGCTTCTAACAATGACTCTAACACAGTCCCGTCTTTCCTTTTCCTACAGCCTCCTCCCCGACGGTTCTCGTACTTAAGGGCATCACTAGGGACCTCAGTTTTGAGATTTAGGGAACAGGAGAACCCCTGAATCTGACTCTCTTATTTATCATTTCTGAAGATCCCACACTACTCCTGAGCATTCAAGATGACACAAGACTGAGGCAATGCAATTTCTCCCAATAGATTCGGGAGACAACAGCAAATAAAAACAGACAACAGCCATAAAATGCCTAATGAAATTAGTGTGGAGACTTTATAAACAACTTCCATCACCTACAAGAGATTCTAAAACCTTCCACCCCACCTAATAAAAAATAAAGACCTTCAATGCAAATCAACTGGATATCAGTGTTATAACTTAAAGTTTAGTTTCTCATCTCAAGTCTACACACTGTGGGGGAAGGATTGTATCTGTCTTGTTACGGCTATACCCATAGTGCTTACATCAGTGCCTGCTATGTAGTACGGCATCAACAAATATTTGCTGAACAACAACAAAAAAAATCTTCAAAACTTTTTCAAATAAACTGGTAGAAAGGCATCCTTTTAAAAACACATACTAATTGTGCTTCGAAAATAAAAAATTCAAAAACACATTCAGTAAACCCAAACTCTGCATACCATCTTCTGTGCGCCTTTAAGACAAGGACGTACCAGAAAACAGTGGATGCATGTTGAACATTTCAGCATCATATACTTCCATTTGGCCAGAGGTCTTGTTCAAGATTCCCACAAAGTGCCTGCAGAAAGAGGGAATAATACCACCAGCAATGGATTATTCAAAAGATTTTTTTGTTTTTTTTAAATTGCTTATAAACTTCCTTTTTCCTCTTTAAAGGCTCTCAAGCTTCATTCTAGAAACCTGGTGGAACAGTGGCTAAACGCTCAGCTGCCAAGCAAATGGGTCAGCGATTTGAACCTATGAGCTGCTCCCAAGGAAGAACGCTGTTGACAGTCTGCTTCTCTAACGCTTTAGAGCCTTGGGAAGCCCTACAGGGCAGTTCGAGTCTGTCCTACAGCATCACTATGATTTGGAATCAATTGGAAAGCAGTGGCTTTGGTTTAGGGGATATTCTTTCTGCTCCAATACACCTAAAGAATGTACCAAACTCAAAAATCTCACTGCCATCAAGTCAATTCCAATTTACAGTGACCCTTTACAGGATTTCCAAGGCTATCAATCTTTATGGGAGCAGAAAGCCTCATCTTTCTCCCTCAGAGCAGCTGATGGGTTTGAACTGTTGACCTTGTGAGCACCACCGGGGCTCCTATGGAGTGCATTACTTGCCCATAAATAAAAATATTTTCTTTCAGCAACAATTTTCTGCACTGTTGTAGTACCAGTGAGTTGCTTCTCTGCAGGAACAGAAAGTTTCATGGTAATCCTAAAGAACAGTTAGTGGGCTTGAACCAGTGACCCTGTGGTTTGCAGTCCAGGGTTTATTGGTCACAAAAAATTAGGTGACCACACTAATAAGGTTTTTGTTATTGTTAAGAGCTGTCGAGTTAGTTCCAACTCATAGCGACCCTGTATAGTTTCTGAGGAGCATCTGGTGAGTGTGAACTGCTGACCTTGTGGTTAGTAATCCAGTACTTATCCTACAACACCACACCCGAACTCGGTTTTAGGTATAAGAATCTAAAATTACACTACAATTTACTGCACATATAAATATTATGGAGGCAAAAGAAAAGAAAAAACTTACTGATTATGGAAAGAAGACTGGTCTGAATTAGAGAATCTTTGTGAGGGGATGCAGTGTATTAGTACTTTGAACTATCTGTATGTCTATTAATCTGACTTCTATCAGAATGTGGTCTAGTGAAGGCACTGATAGGACCGTTTGTGGTTCACTGTTGGGTACCATTACAGGGCCCCATCTGCCTTATGCCAGTCCCTGAGATTCATAGTCTACTTAGGCTGGACAGTCTTCATTGTACAAAGAGAAAAAATGGCATCAGTGAAAGGCAGATTTCCTCAGAGTCACTCAGAGAGCCAGCACAGAGCCAGTTGGAAGCCCTGGGCTCCTTTTTACCAGACTTCAACACCATGAGATCCTTTTCTTGTAGTTAATTCCAAGGCAAACATCAAGCAAGCTCTGATCTATTAAATATACATTCCAACTTTGAATACTGTGGGTTAATGCGCCAGACTGTAAAGCTGTTTGAACTGCAAAGTTGAAGGTTCAAGCTCATCAGCTCATCCTCAGAAACCCTATGCAGGGTGGCTATGGGTTGGAATCAACTCGACGGCACTTAACAACAACAACAAATTAACAAGGTTTAAGGATTTTAAACAAATGTTTAAATGTCAGCCTTCCTTTTCAGTACTATCTATCTACAGGCTGGTACAAAAACTCCTGAGCCTGGGAACCCAGAGACTTGGTAAACCTCCCGAGACTCCTCTCAGTGCTCCTGCAACAAAGACTGAGAACAACTGTGCCAGCGGTACCATGTCCTCCCTCCCCATCGCCCTTTATGAGGTCCCATCCCAACACTACCTGCACAAAGCGTTGCATTTCAGGGCTCCAGTCCCAAAATTGTTCCCCACATAGGAAAGTCTGTCTGTCTCTGCTGCCTAAACAGAAGGGAACATACTCCATTTATGACCAATGTTGAAAGGTACAAAGTGAATCACTGTGTCTCCTGTTTGTTCATTCGCAAAAGCTTGAGCGTACAGAACTACAGTGAATCAGAAGTAGGAGGCCACTGGGAGGTGACTCAGCCCCACTGTCTCTCTAGCTGAATTTGCTTCCTGGGGTACCCATGCAGGAAGGGCAAAAGGCGTTTTGAGAGGGAAGCCCCCAAGGTTTCTGGGTTTAAACTGGTACTAAAAAAAGTTCTTGGGAAAGTTGCATCAAAAAACTTGGGGGAAAGGCTCCATATACACATATGTAGGCATGCAACACAGTGATTCTGCAGAACCTCCTTAGCCTGAAGTCCAAGCTCCCCTTGAACCTTTTTCTTTTTGTTCACAATTCCTATGACTCCTCTTTGTATATTTCAAGACCATGGAAATAGCCAATTCTCTCTGTAATCACAGCCAAGCATTTGTCCTTGCTATCCTCTTCATCTGGAATACCAAACTTCACCTGCCAGCCTCCCCTTAGCCTATCCTTCAGAGCTCCGTTCCAATGTGCCCTCCTCCAAGAAGGCATCCTGGAAACAGAGTGCTTTCCCCTTTCTGAGCTCACTCTCTGCTGTACTCTTCCTCCTTCACACCCTGAGCTTTAGCTATTTGTCTGAGTTCTCACCTTTCCCTCCACAGCAGAGGCTCTCAACACCCCCACCCTACCCCACTGATATTTGGAAATATTTGACAATATTTGGTTGTCACATGGGAGTGGGAGACAGAGTGCTAGAGGCATCTAGTGGGTAGAGACCAAGGATGCTGCTAAATAGCCTATAATGCTCAGGATAGCTGCCCACAAGAAGGCTTATCTTGTCCAAAATGTCAATAGTGCTGAGGTTGAGAATCCCTGCTCTACAGTATGTGCTCCCTCAGAGTGGGCCAGGTCTGATGTGACTGTATCCCAGCAGCTTACAACCATAAATAAGGACACGTGCTTGCTGAATGAACAACTGAATGAACAGCCATCACTTCTTCAAAAGTACCAAACCTGTTTGGCCAAGCCTGTTCCCACACTAGCTGGGAAAGGGGGTGTCAGTGAAGTTCTTTAAAGGTCCATTTGCTGCCCCTCTTTCCCCCCACAGACACTCACACTACCAGGTCTGCAGAGTGGAGACAGCCTACAACATACCAAGATCCGCTGACTCCTCTTCCTGGGGTTTGTGGAGTCTTGACTCTTGTACAAGGTAAAGCGCATGTTGCTTGGATTCTGCAGCTTCCCATTGGAGAACTGGACTGCAAGATTGCAGTAGAGAATGGGATAAGAACAGAGGGACCCACCGTGTATGTGGAGAGGAAATGGCTGTTGGAAGAATGGGGATGGTGAGGGAGCCCAAGTCCTGATCTAAAGGACTGAAGGAGGCCCTGCCCCAGTTAGGAAGGTAAGGGGAGTCTAGGGGATGTGATTAACAGGAGGGTATGCGTGAGGGGACAGAAGTGACTGAGGCTCAGTACAGATCTAGAAAGACAAAAGGACTCTCTAACCCAGGGGAGAAAAAGGGACGGGCAGATAGAAGACATGGTGGATTTGGGGATAACAAGGTCCTAGACACAGCCCTGGGGAGGGGGCGGCTGGGGTGGCGTCATGCAGCTGTTCGGTGGTGACAGAAAGGTGCCGAAAGACTGAGAAGCCTCAGACAAGCCCCAAGCAGTAAATACGGGAGGGGGGCGGGATACAGGAGAGGTACCGAGAGACGCAAGGGGGTCGGAGGAACTCTGCTCCAACTCCGCAGTCCTTACCCAGCACAGCTTTCTGACTCTCCTCGGGCTCGCCACAGTACAACCACCTCGCACTTGGCAGCACCTCAGGCGCCATCTCGCTCCTCTAGTCACCACAACACAAGACCGAGATAGCCAGTTCACACGCCGAAGAAGAGCGAGAAAGGGTCTGCCAGGAAGAGGCGTGCCCTCGTGAGGCACCACCCTGCGCGCGCAGAGTCGGAGCGTGTTTCCGTCCCAACCAGACACCGCCCCTTACAGGCTCCGCCCTGAGCGTTGACGGGGCACCGCCCCTCCCCAGCCACTCTTTTCCCGCCCTTCCGCGCAGAGAAGCGTGGTCTCCGCCGCAAAGTTCAGGTTTTTTGGTTTTAGGGTCTGTTTCCCAAAATCCTGTAGTTTCAGTCTACCCTTCGTGTTTGCTCAAACCGGTCTAGATAGTGTATAATATCTCTCTCGTACCTTGACAAATATTTCTTCCTGAACACCTGAAAGGTATGTTCGAATCCTCTTACTGGAACTCCTCGATCTTCGACTAAATGTGGCAGCTCCCCCAAGATCTGGGATTGCACACACCTGTGGCCCAATCTACTCGGAGGCAGGATCAGTGGAGAGGTGAACATGCTCAGATCCATTTGGGCAGGGAATTCTCGGTTGTGTTTTAGAGGCGAGGCAGATCTGATGGATTGTTGTGAAGTGCCGTCGAGTCGGTTCCAACCCATAGCGACCCTGTATAGGGTTTCCGAGGAGCAGCTGGTGAGCTTGAACCGCCGACCTTGCAGTTCAAACGGCTTTGCAGTCCAGCGCATTAACCCTGACACCTCATTTAAATTAACCATTCATTCCAAGGGATCGTATCCAGAATTACAGGTTGCATTTAGGCGACACTGCTATTTTGTCTCTCACAATCTGAAACAGTTCTTTGATTTTCGGAACTTTGGCCATTTTAAGGATTGTTGTTACAAACTGTCAAGTGGATTCCAACTCATAGCGACCCTGTACAGGGTTTCCGAGGAGCAGCTAGTGGGTTTGAACTGCCGACCCACAGGTTCACAATCCAGTGCTCATCCTACAGCACCACACCATTTTAATGATTGTTGTTTTTGTTATGTGCCATGGAGTCGGTTCCGACTCATAGCGACCCTGTACAGGGTTTCCGAGGCTGTAAATCTTTACGGGAGCAGAAAGCCTCATCTTTCTCCCGCGGAACAGCTGGTAGTTTCGAACTGCTGACCTTGCGGTTCACAGCCCGATTCGTAACCACTATGCTACCAGAGCTCCTTCCATTTTAATGATTAAAGGTCGGTTATTTATAAAATGTCCCTCAATCTAGTTTTGTCTAATGCTTCCAAATAATTTGTTTCAGATTATGCATATTTGGCAGAACTCTTAGTGACCCTGTACAGGGTTCCCAAGGAGCAGCTGAAATTAAAGGAATTTGTAATGACCAGACCAATTTGACAAAAAATACTAAAGGTTGTTTTTTGGACTAAGCAACAACAACAGCAGACAACTGAGATTCCCATACATGACAACACTCCTCAGAACTCAATCCAGATATGAAAGTATTTAAAACAAACCTACAGGCTGAAAAAAGGAACTAGATGTCAATTTATAATGAAGTCAGCTTTAATAAGTAAAACAGAGGCAACAGTGTTGATACAGATCTTCCTAATGGCTAGGAAGTCCAGTAAATTTCAAGATAAAAAAGGCTATTTTGAGCAGGGGAAAAAATTAACTACTAAGTAACCTCAAAGAAAAATAATACACCTGCACATCAAAAAAATTTTTTTAATAGGGACAATTAGAAAGAGTTGGTAAACATTAACAACAACAGAAAAGAAACCCCACAAACAAAATTAAAAGACACCCGCAGCAGCAGCACATACACACACACAAACCAACCACACACACACACACACAGCAAAATGACAGCAATCAATTCATACCTATCTATAGCTACACTGAATGTAAATGGGCTAAATACACCAGTCAAGAGATAAAGAAAGCAAAATGGATAAGAAAATAGGATACTCTAACAAGTTGTCTACAAGAGACACATCAAAAAGAGACAGCCTAAAAACCCATCAACAGAAGAACAATTAAACAAATTTTGGTACATACACACAGTGGAATACTATGCAACATTGAAGGATAACGATGTATCTGCGAAACACCTCACAACATGGATAAACCTGGAGGACATTATGCTGAGTGAAATTAGTCTATCACAAAAGGACAAATATTGTATGAGACCAATGTTGTAAAAAGTTAAGAAAAGGTTTTCTTCATAAAAGAATCAATCAATTCTTGTTACAGGAGGAGGGAAATTTATTCATGGGCTAGAGAATAGACACAAATTCACATGGGTGACAGGCAATATGCAACAAGAGGGAGGTTAGCAGAGGAAAGGTGAAGGTAGTGGAGGCATGGGAAGGAGTGAAAGAGTTAGAGTGAATAGAGATGGTGGTGGTTGGTGGTGTGCCATGGAGTGGGTTCTGACTCATGGTGACCCTGTACAGGGTTTCCGAGGCTGTAAATCTTTACGGCAGCAAAAAGCCTCGTCTTTCTCCTGCGGAACGACTGACATTGAGGTTAGCAGCCCGACTCACAATCATTATGCTATCAGAGCTCCTTAAAGTGAATAGAGATAAATACTGTTAATTTAACAGTTGGTACGTGAAGGAGATTGCAATCATTGTAATGAAGCAAAGTATATGACTTGCTGAATGTAACACTGCTGATCTGCTCTGTAAACCTTCACTCGATTCACAATATAAACTCACAAAGAAAAACAAAACATGAGCTGTCAAAAGAACAATATGTGTTTGAAGACAGATATCCAGAATGTTCCTTAGAACTTAGGATGGAGAGACTTCATGTTTTATACTTTGAACATGTCATCAGGAGGGACCAATCCCTGGAGAAGAATATCATGCTTTCTAAAGTGGAGGGTCAGCGAAAAAGAGGAAGACCCCCCCAATGAGATAGATTGGCACAGTGGCAACATCACAGGACTCAAGGGTAACAACAGTTGTGAGGACAGGGAAGGATTGGGCATTATTTCATTCCGAGTCTGCTATGAATCGGAGCCCACTTGATGGCACTTAACAACAACAACAACAAAGACTAAAACAATAAAAATAATTTGAGGAATATATATATATATATATACATATATGTAGGGTTTCCAAGGAGTAGCTGGTAGGTTCGAATTACAGTGCCTATCCTACAGCGCCACACCAGGAGTCCGTTGTTGTTGTTATTAAGTGTCATTGAGTCAGTTCCAATTCAGAGCCACCCTGTATAGGATTTCTGAGGAAAGGCTGGTGAGCTTGTACCGCTGACGTTGCAGTTCAAACCACTTTCCAGTGCATTAACCCGTAATGCCATGTCAGAAGTCCATTGGTCATGGTGTACCATGGAGTTGTTTTCGACTCATAGAGACCCTGTACAGAGTTTCCTAGTCTTTAGTCACCTGTCTCTCATGGAATGGCTGGTAGTTTTGAACTGCTGACCTTTAGGTTAGCAGCCCAACTCGTAACCACTATGCTACCAGAGCTTCTCCATATATGTATGTTGTTGTTAAGTAACGTAAAGTCAGTTCTGACTCATAGTGACCCTGCAAAGGGTTTCCGAGGCTGTAAATCTTTACGGGAGCAGAAAGCCTCATCTTTCTCCCGCAGAACAGCTGGTAGTTTCGAACTGCTGACCTTGTGGTTAGCAGCCTGATTCGGAACTGCTAAGCTACCAGAGCTCCTTCATATATGTATATGTATATGTATATGTATATGAAAACAACAACAAAATATGTATATTTTGGTGCTATTGTATATATATATATATATATATATATAGTACTGGTGTGGCACTGTGGGTTAATGCTCCAGACTACAAAGCCGTTTGAACTGCAAGGTTGGTGGTTCAAGCTCACCAGCTGTTCCTCGGAAACCCTATATAGGGTCGCTATGGGTCGGAATCGACAGCACTTAATACGTGTATATATACGTATCTGGGATGAGGCAGAATGGAGAGAGCACTACAAGCCTACAAGCCAGTGGCCTCAAATGCAAAAAAATTACATAGTAAGGTCCTCTAGGTGAGTTGTTGAGTGCTCTCGAGTCAGTTTCCGAGGAGCTGCTAGTGGGTTTGAACCGCCGACCTTGTGGTTCAAACTGACTTTGTGGACCTGCAGCACCACACCAGGACTCCCCTCTAAATGAATAAACCAAACCCAATCTGCTGCCAATGAGTAGATCCCAATCCATAACTTAGAATCAGGAATACAGGCAATATTCTGTAAGAATGTTTGTTTGCAAATTTAACTTGCAACTCACACTTCAGGGGTTCTTTTTTGGTATCATTTTTCGGAAGAAAAGTTAAGTTTTGAGAATGGGGTGGGGTGGGTGGGGGCAGGCAGCGTCCTCTTTTGCTGGAGTAATATCGCCATCTGCTGGTACTTCAGGATATCGCTAATGAAGACTTGAAAAGGCAAGTAGGATCCCTATCTGGTATCTCAGCTCACATTTTTGCCTCAAAACTTCGTCTCTTTCTGCGTGTTTTTCCTCCTCCTTCCTTTCTCCTCTGCCTCTATTTCCCCCTCTCCTTTTCTATGCTTGTATCACTCTCCTGTTCTCCTTTCTATCTTTCCTTTGACTTCTTTCATATCCCAGATGCAGACTTTGTTTGCACACTTGTGTACATGAACAACTCAGACCTTATAAATCCAATTTTTCACTTTGGGCAGGTTTTACCTTTCACGGAGCTAAAATCTTCCTTTACAGGCTTCCTACTATAGTCCCAGTTCTTCTCTCTAGGGTCAATCAGAACATGATCAACTCCCCTGCTCTAAGACCTAAATACTTCAAAAGTCTGTTACTTTCCTGCCTACTTTAGCTATTCCTCATACACTAAAGTTTCTAGACTCTTCATTGTAGTCAACTCTGCAGGACACACACCCACCAATACATCTGGATCCTTCTCACATGATGACGTTCCACACTGACCCAAACCCCAGTGCTAAGTTGAGCAGCACAGAAAGAGAGGCACCATCCATCACTTTCTTTCTTCTATATGCTCTACCTCTCTGAAGGAAATCTGAATGT